TCAAAGTGAACTAAAGGAAAATATACTAATGTTCTATAACACCAACAACTTTGAACAAAGTCATTAATATCTAATGTTTTTGAAATATTAATATCATTTAAAAAGTTAATGTTTGTTTGTAAAGTCATATTTTTATATAATAAATGAATGATGCTTTCACATTTTCCCCTATTTTCCAGAATACTATCTAAATTAATATTGATCTTCTTTTTTTGCTCTTTGAGGAACAACTCTAATTTTTTTATGAAAACTTTTTTATCTGTAACTACACAATCGTATTTATATTCTTCAATATTTTTTAAATAATTATAAAAATTTGTAAAAATAATTTTGATTTTTGATTTGAATTCATCAGGTAAATATAAATTATCAATAAATGTTCTGATATTTGTATTGCCGTTAAAATCAACATCGGTTGACGTAATATGTTGTTGAAATAATTGATGAATATCGAATTTTCTATCTTTTTTAATATGATTAACGATTTTGATATCTTGATCAATATCATTAGTCTGTTTTTCTTGAAAATACATTTCAATTTGATCAGTATACTTTTTTAATTTTTCAAATTGCTGTTCTCGTATTAAAATTGTTAATTCTAATCCATTAAATAAGTCATAAAATAACTTTGATGAACAATGAATTTGAATAAAATTTAAATCTCTTTTCATTTTATATAATAATGAACCTTGACTCGAATCAATACCAATAACTAACAAATGTTCTGTTATAAATTGTAGAAAATTCTTAATCTTTTTTTCACAAAGAATCTGATGTTCTCCTTTTTCAATTATTTTTCTAAAACAATTGAATATTCTTGCTAATAATTCAAGATTTTTATCATTGATTTGAAGAAATTGATATATTAATTGTTCAATAATATAAACATCGATTGGTTCTTTGGAATGATATATCGGCGTACATTGAATTAATTTAAATTCTTTGAATTTGTTCTTGCCTTTTAGTACATCAAATAATAAAAAGAGAAATTTCTTACTTTCTTTTATTCGTTTTATTGATATTTTTGATTCGATTAAGATTTGGGAGATTTCTTCAATAGTTTTAGGATTATTTGGTTGATTTGAAAAGAGATTAGTTAAATAATTTTGATACATGATTTTTTCATCGATTGGAAAATCATTTTGTTTGATAAAATTATCTATATTGAACGAATCAAAATCAACGATTTCATCGAATTTTGTCAGTTTATATTTGATTAAATCTTTATTTCCATATTCTAAACAGATTTCATTTATGAATACATCAATATCCAGTTGATCAAGTTTATTTCTTGCTCGTATAAATGCCTTTCTTTCTTGTTTTAATTTGTCTAAATCATGAAAATATTGTTTTAATACAAATGGCTCATGTCGTTTACTAATTCGGTTGTAGCAAACACTTTCATAAGTTTTTGTCAATAAAGAAAAGTCTTCATTAAAAAATAAATCATCCGTTGTAGTTAATAGACTTCCATCCAAACGTGATAAATTGATTTGATTTCTTTCATTTTGATCAATAAGAAATGAGTTTTTCGAACTATCAATGTCAATTTTAAATAGAACATGTTTTCCTTTATGTTTTAATGATAAGATTGCTTCATCTGTTTGTTTAATCTTCTTGCCTAATTCACTTTTGAGAACAAGTTTTTTCGATTTGTAATGTTCTAATTTTTGAACGATTGCATCATGTATTTGAAATTGAACACTTTGTTGAGAATCTGTATCAATAGATAATTTTAATTGACTTGCTAATTTATTGTCTTGATTATTATTAGTATCTGATGTTTTCAGAATATTATTTTCTGTTTTGGATTTCGTTATTGTTGCATTCAATGCTAATGATTGTTGAGCAATTGTATAGGCATTTGCAAGTAATGAATCTGATAATTGATGTGTTTTGACATGTGTTTCACGTTCATCTAACATTTCATTTTTTTTATCTTTTAATAAATTTATAGAATTTGCTACATTGTTGGAAATATTATTTGTTCGTTCATCATTATTATTAACAACTTCATTTAATTGATTTTTAATCTGTTGTTCATTAGATTTTTCTTTATTTTCACTTTTTTGACGGACTTTTCCAGTATTTAGTTGTATATCGGCGGTTTTTCCTTGACCTTTTTCAATTCCATCTGATTTCTTCGGCCTTTCTTTATATATAACGTTAAGATCAAACCGGAAAAATGTATTTTTAGTAATTTCTACTTTTTCTATATACCCTGTATAAGCCTTATCTTTCGAGAAACCTTTAGGTCTATGCCAGACAAGATCATTTCCATCGGATCCTCCATTGCCACCTTTTCCGCCTTGACCAGGTAACCCATCTTTTCCATTTTCATTGGATTTATCAAGTGATTCAATTAGCTTTGAAAATGTAGAAATAATTGAATTTTGATTTTCTTCAATATGAACAGTACCAGCATGCCCACCAAATCCGCCTAAACCAGCATCGCCTCCTTTGCCACCATCTCCCCCTGGTGTACCTTTTCCACCTTGTGTGAAACAATAACCATACTTAAAATAACCTATAGAATTAGCTCCAGTAGCATCTTGACCATCCTTTCCGTTTTGTCCATTACCCCCATTTCCACCATTACCACCCTTACCACCATTACCTCCGGATGTGATTAGTTTTTCTATATTATTTTGTCCTTTAAATTGTTTCTCGGCGATGAAATAAATATTCCCACCATTTCCTCCAGATTCACCATTTTCACCAGGTAAACCATCTAATCCATCTTCACTTTCTCGTTTTGCATGTAGCTGTTCTTTAGCATTTTTACCATCGGCACCGTTCTTTCCTGTTAGATCTATTGTAATTTTCGTATTTGATTCATCTTTAATAAAATCAATTATATCCGAACCAATAATTAAATTAATTCCACGCCAACATTCATCGTTCAATGAAAGATTCATAAAGACATTTGTACCATAAAATATAACTGTTTGAATATTGAAATCTTTTTTTTTTATTTTGGTTTGTACATTTTCAATGATATCACTCAAGAAAATATTGTAATTTTTCATGATTATTTCTGAACTATTGATATTTATTTTTGGTTCTAATAATGAATCATGAATAATTTGAAGAAGTTGAAATGGAATTTGATTTTCATCACTTGTTTTTAAATATTGATAAAAATATTGTTCTTCATCTAGATTACCAAATTTTAAGTCAATACTAAAACAATCTTGTGATATTATTTGTCTAAATTTCTTATCGATTCCATCCTCTGATGATATAATATCATCTAATTTTTTCCTTTTTTCGAATTTTGGTGAAACTTTTTCATACTCACTTAAGCTTTGAATTATTTCTTTTTTTAATTTATTGAGTAAATTCCAATTTTTTTCTGTCTTAGCATTTTGTTCAATCATATCATCAATTAGTTGTAATGCTGATTTATGTTCTTCTTCTTTTTCTTCTCTATATTCTTCAATCGATTCAATAAATAATTCTTTAAAATCATTTAATGCATCAGTTAAATCAATGTTATCATCAAGATTTGCAATTAATGACCAAAAATGAAAAAAATCTGGGTTGTAATCATCGAATTTTAAATAATAAATAACTTCTTCATTAAAAATCTTCAGACTTTTACTTGCAATCATTGATTCAATAAATATTTCAATATTCTTATTTTCATTGGTATTCGAAAGAATATTTTTACTTATTTCATTGTCTAAAAATTTTGAACAAACTGTTTTTAAATCAGCTTTAGCATCATAAGTTGTTAATAAAACAGTTAAGAACATAAAATAATTCACTTCTTTGATTGTTGTATAAGAATTGGTAGTTTTTACCAAAACTATGGGAACTTGAATATTTGTATAACTAAACATACGATTATCAATTCCGTCCTCTACAAAGAAACATTTGAAATTTGTTTTAAATTTTTCATTGAATTTGTTAATAAATTTCCCTTCGGACACGGATTCTTCTTGTAATTCACGATAGGTTTTTGTCAGAGTATTATCGTGCCATTTTAAATATTCTTCAACGTCATCTTCTTCGATTAAATGATAGAATAAACAATTGAGTAATGCATTTGCTGATGTATCTTTAAATAGGTAAAATCCAAGTGTTTCAAATTGATGTAATTTAAAATGAGATTTTGTTATTAAATTGAATATATGGGATAAACGCATTTTGTTTTTATCAATAAACGCTACTTCATTATTTTTAATATTTTCTAATTTCAATAAATTTGATTTGAATTTTTCGACTTTTCGAAAAATTTTCTTATTAATCTTTTCATTATATTTCTTACTTGCTAAATTAATGTAATGAATAGATATTTGTAGATTACCCTTCCATCGATATAAATATGATAATCGATAATAAATCACTGGATTATAATCAGCATTCGTTTTTTGATATTTTAAAATATCTAACAATTCTAATATTTCAAGATAAAAGTAATGATTCTTTCGATAGATATTTGCTCGTTGAAATTTTAATTGAAGAATTCTTCTATTGATTTGATTGAATCGAGATTTTTCAAGATTTAAAAACGTCCGGAATTCTTTGACTGATCTTGATATTTCGCAAACAGATTGAAAATGATCAGAATCTGCTTTACATTGAATTAAATTAAATCTTGTTTCTGGTAATAATTTTTGAAAATTTTCATCTAACTTTTTATATTCTTTTTCATTAACTGATTCTAATTTTTTGAATAATTGAATTAATTTCAAAAAATTTGATTCTTGGTTGGTAATCTTGTCCAATAAACTTCTTAATAATTGTTTGAAATCAAAGTTTGATAAATGATATTTAAGTGTTGATGATTTCGTTGAATTGTTCTTGATTTTGATTATACTTTGTTGGCCATATTTTAATAGATTAATTAATTGTTCTTGATCATTAAACTTAATTTGGTATTCATTTTCTATTATACTGAAATGTAAGTATAACGATTTGTTTTGATTATTAGTAACTTTGACTTCCAGTATTTTATTACAGAATATTGATGATTTGTCATTTTTCTTTTCAGCAACACATCGCTGTAAATGAATAAGAATTTCAAATAAATCTTGTATTGGTCTAATGGCTTCCGTTAGTTTACTAAAAGTTTTATGTAAATGAAAGCCTTTTTCACAATTATTTAACTCATAGAATTTTAATAATTTTTGATATTGTGCTTCAAAGAAATATGGATTAATTTGTAGGATATCATCATAGGATTTCATGGAAGAAGTATTATCTGTTGCAAATGCTTTTTTAAATAAATTTATGAAATTATTTTTATGAAATTGAACGTTTTTTTGATTTTCAGTTTGATTTTCATATTGAATGAAATCGTGTTTGGATTGATTGAAACAATTGAATTTTTCAAAATAACAAAAATTAAACATTTTTGCCATATCAAGATAAATCAATGCTCGAAATTGGAATTTATTACTTAATTGAATTGTTGCTTGACGAATATCATCAGGAGTACTGTTATGGGACTTAATAATAAATTCATCGATTGACATAGATTCATTAAGTAAGTCCATAGATTTTTTGAGATAAAGTTTTAAACTAGGCTTTTTCTCTTTGTAAGTTTTACTTTGTTCAAATAAACTTTCACTTTTTTCAACTAAGCCGCCAATACTTATAAGACAGTCTTCGGATTCAAAATCTTCATTTGAATTTGTGGTATTTTGATCGTTTAATTTACACTGATCACATATGAGTTTTTCGTTCCAAGTCTTTCCTTTAAATTGCCGAATAAAACAGGTTTTGATAAGTCTTTCCGAATCATGAATAATTTTGAAACTATCTTCATTAAAGAGTTTCAGTTGATCATATATAGACTGAATTGTTTTGTTTGATTCGATTGATTCTCGATTCTGTTCAGTTAAGGGTAATATAGAATCTCTTACATATACTAAATAAGATTCTTTTAATAGATTCACATAATTACTTGCATGATCTGTATTGTCGATATAGGTAAAGAATAATTTGAAATATGGTGTTTTTATTGGAACAACATTGTAAAGTTCCTCTAGACACTTGGCATAAAAAGTTTCACGTACAAATTGATAGATTAATGTTAATTGTTCTTCATCGCTATATAAATTATAATATTCATCATCTTCCAAACAATTAATGAGAGTATTTGATCGTGGAAGATAATCTTTCGATTCATTTAACACCATTTGAAATAAATCCTTTCGAAATTGACATAAAAACATATGAAAAAAATGTCTAAATTGGAGATCATTTCTAAAATTTTGACGATATGAAGTTCTTAGTTGTTTTGTTAATTCTTTTTTGGATTGTTGGCTTGGTTCATAGAAATTCAACCAATTTTTAGAATATTGTTTTAATGCACATTGAAACGTTATTCGTTGTTTACATCTTTCCCGATCATGTTCGTATTTAGATTGTATTTTGATAAAAAGTTCATGAAGTTTGCGTTGATGTCGTTTATAATAAATAGTTTCTAGTCGATCAAGTTTTTTGTTTAAAAATTGTAAATTTTCGGAAAGTTGTATCTTGAAACTCGATTGGCTATGAATTTCAATTTCGTTGTTTAAATTTAATTTTCTTCCAAAAAAACATTGATCAACACGAAAAATTGGAGGACTACTTTGTAAATGTTCATGTGTTTCAGGAACTGCGCTCGATTGTCTGTTTAATTGTTCTGCATAACTAGAAAAGTGTGGAGCTAAAATAATATTATCATCTGTTGTAATTGATTGGATTTTATCTACAAGAGATTTTAATTGATCTAATGTGGAACGAAAAGTTGGTATTGATTGATCATCTATATCGTTCAATTGTAATGAATTGAGTTCGTTATTTAAAGATACAAGATTAGTGCAAATCGTTTCTTTGATATGCCCTAAATATAATTCTTCGTTCTCATCATTGATTTCTTGTTTATTTTCTGCCAATATTTGATTCAAATGATTATTCAGTTCGAATAAAGTTTTCGTAATTGAATTAAGATCAGAATTCAATATAGGCATTCGATCTAAAAAAATGAAAAGTATGCAACTAAATAAAACGAAGTCTATGACATTTATAAATGCGATTTTATCCACTTCTCTCTCGTTTTTGAGAGTATAATCGCTTAATTGTTAAGAGTAAAGAACACACCATTGATTTCATTGTTTTTAAATTTATAAATGTTATATCTAAAATACTAAAAAAAATAACATGAAGCAAATTATTGAATAAATTACAAAGAAAAGAACTATTTAAATATGTTATTCTTAACAAATTACAATAAAAAACGAACTATTTTAATATGTTATTCTTAACAAATTTTTGTAAATCTTCTAGGCTATATTTTTGCATTTCCAATTCGCTTAAAGTTTGCATTAATTCGGAGAATAAAAGCCATTTTAATCGAATATCCACCTTGTTTGAACTGAAATGATAGTGACGATAGAAATATTCTGTTAATTCATGAATTTTTTTGTTACGTAAATTAACCGTCACATCTGGAACTAAAGGAAATTGTTTACCTTTTCGAACAATAATCGAATAAGATCCTTTTTCATCTTGTCTTGCAGTTCGACCAAGCATTTGCGTATAAATATTTTCTCTCAATGGATAATATGTTAAAATTAAATGTAAACCTTTTGTAATACTTTTATCTACTTTAATATCAGCACCACGTCCAATAATCCTTGTTGCTAAAGTAATAAGATCTAATTTACCAATTTTACGAATATTTTCAGCAATATCATCCTCTTTTTTGATCTCAATTATTTCACGACCCTTTAAAAATGTGTTTTGAGCTCCAAGTAATTCTGTACGTATACAATCATAATCTGACTTATCGTCCTCATTTTGTTTATATGAATCAGCAAAGATTAAAATTGGTTGTTCTTGATACCTTAGTTGAATTTCTTCTTTGATTGCATTTAAAAAATCATCAGTATTTCTAATAACTTTGCCGGGATCATTGACAAATGTTCTATTCTGTTGAGCATTTGTTGGACCAAAAAATGGTGGAATATCATAATAATGTGATATTTTATTATCAAATAATCTTTGAAATTTACTTAAATGTTCTTTTTCTATACTTCCAGAAAAGCCAATAACTCGTTTAAATTGTGAGTAAAATACCAAAGCATCCAAATAATAATGAACAAATTCTGCTTTTTTGTACTGGTTTAAATGATTCAAACGAGATATACCTAATTTCACATCTTTTCCTAAACTATCTTGAAAAGACGTCTGTTGTTCATTACTACCTTCCGCTTTCGCTTTGGAGAGTTGGGTGTTCCACCATTCATCATAGATCTTAGAAAATTCCGAATTACATTTGGCAATAAATGCTGCACCAAATAATTGTGTAAGATCTTCTTTCTTATCAAAACTTGTATTCCGATTTGTAATGTTCACATCAAATTCATGTAAATATTGAAATATTTCATCGGAATCCAATATCAAACTATCAAATTCATCCATAACTAATACAGTATCAGTGATATTCGGTAACGTAATTGATGTCCCATTTACTAATGTACTATATCCTTTTCTTCGTAAAACATCAAAATATGTGTTTAAATCAGTATAAATTACATCTTTATTAAAGAATTCTTCTGTTGAACTTGTTGATGAACAATACATTGTTGCAATATTAAAATATTGATAATATTTTTGATAATTTCCATGATCTCGTTTAGCTAAATGATCATAACAAGTGATAACAAAAACTTTGGGATTTGGTGCATTTCTATTCTTTTGAACAATTTGTCTTGCTGTTTCAGCTATTGTTAATGATTTACCCTGACCAGTACCAATCTTAATAAATAAATTACTGTCCTTTTTTAATTCATCGGTTAAATAATCATGTATTAATGCTAATGCACCCACTTGATTGTGTTGTAAATATTTAATATTAATTAGCTCAAATGCTTTTTTATTGGTTTTAAAATTGTTTTCAATATCCTTTCGATTTTTTTTAATAATAGTGGAACCTATATCAGAATTTAACTTTTCATACCATTTGTCAAACTCCTCTTGTTTATAATGATGATAACAATATAAAAAGTAGATTTTATCACTAAATTCACTTGTATTTTTTGTCCAACAATCTAAATTATCGCATACATTTCTTTTCATGAATGTATCAAATAATTCCAAAACTTCCGTTGTTGATTTAGTTGATTCAATAATTCTGGGAACTTGCTCCAATTTATAATTAATAAAATTATCAATAATTATCCTTGCATATTCGTTTCGGTTACTAAGGCTTTCTTCATTTGCTTGACTAAAACCATCTAAGATAAGATCAATTGATCGATTTCGAAGTTTTTCTCGAAGTTGTTTACTAATTTCAACATTATCACTTACATCATAAAATTCAATTAATTGTTTAACTGATTTATATAATTTATTAAATTCTTGATTAATAAGATTTTTGTTTTTTAAGAAAACTTTTTTATCATTTTCTGTTGAACAGTTAAAAACTTTAAATAAAATCGACATAATAATTTCATTTGTGTTCTCATTATAATTTTCACTTCGATTATTATATTTTGGATCATCAGCTAATTTTGCTGATAAATAATATGGAATACTAAAGCCAGGAGTTAATTCTTGATTAATATTAAATTCCATTCCAGACTTTTTTAAACGATTGAGAACTGAACCAAAATTTGAATTAAATTCACCTAGTCTTGGTAGAATTTTTGTTTTAGCATCCGGTATATGTTTTATTAAATCGATATTAAATGATTGAGCTAATCTTAAACAGATTTGACTTCCAAACTTTTGATGATCAAGAAACTTGTTTATAAAAGTTGCTTTTATATGAATCTGATCTTTTTCTAAACTGCATATAACCGATCTAACATTTTCCAAGCGAATTTCGAATGATCCAATATTAATCAAGAATTTAACAATTTCAATAAGATCATTTAATTTTGTACAAACATTAGCATTATCAATACATAAGAAATCTTTTTTTAATTTTGAAAGTTTATTTAGATGAATATCTTCTGGTTGATAATCCAATGTATCATTATCTGCACATATATGAATATAAAATAAAAGTTGATTAAATTCCGAAAAACGATTGACATCATCTAAGTCTTGATATAATAAAGATTTGAAAAAATAATAATTAAAACAATATTTAACACTGATATATTCATCAGAAAAATCTAAGTTTGCAATTCGTTGACCATAAAGATCAGTCAAGATCTTATGAGTACCAATAGCATTGTTTTCATCAATAATTGATTCTCGTATCATGATCAGAGTAGATTTTTTCAAGGAAAAAAGTAAAAATAATACTTTAAATTTCGTTATTAGTTGTTTACAATTTTCTAATATATTTTCATAAAGAACATTGCCTTCTTTATTTTTCTTTGCCTCTGTAAGTTTTTGACTTTCAATTAAATATAATTGAATACCTTTGTCATAAATGGATTTGACAACATCATTGTTTTCGACGAATTGTCTACATAAATCTTTAAAACTGTTGTCTTGTAATTTAAATACCAAGTTGCTTAACGATTTAGTACATTTTTTATTGGGTGATTTTTTAAACATTTCAATGAGATGTTTGCAATAAAGTTCAGATTCATTTGAGACACGTATGTAAACCATTTCATTTTTAACAAGATATTCAAGTAAAATTTCAGTTGAATAACCTCGATCAGTGATCATCTTTAATTTAATCAAGGAAAAATAAGTTTCAATATCTGATGGTTTCGAATTCAATAATTTTGATTGTAGATTTTCTAATTTTGCACGATAGTTATTATCGTTAAGCATATTGTCTAATGATTCTCTAACATATAAGATATATTTAATAAAATAATCATAAAATTTTCTGATAATTCCTAGTTTCGCCTCATCATCGTCGGGCTTGTTGTGGTCAAAATTAATAAATTTTGGTATTTTCGTTTCGATACCTCTGATAATTAAAGTACCAATTTCTTTTTTATTTTTAAGTCGAATTTGTTCTTCTATCAGTTCGTTAATTTCTTTTAATGTTTGACCGTAATTTAGAAATAATTCATAACCTTGTCGAATTGTTGATATATGATAATTAATTACTAAGATTGTTCCAGGATCATGTATAGATTTGTTTATAGTATTTTCAATTAGATTTTTAAATTTTTTCAATATTTCAAGAAATGCAGATTCTTGATCAATTTTTTTGCCTTGTCTTTCATATACCATGATCATATTCGGTAACTGTGATAGTAAATATCGTACTGATTGAAGATTGGAAATTAATGTTTCCAATGTAGAATTTTTATTGGAAAATAATTCTTGCAGTTCCTGAACAATATGAACTGTTTCGACGGATGATGCAGATGTCTGTACCATTGATATCTAAAATCATAATGAAAAAATTAATAGAATAGAATCAACATCGTGACAGATTTGCTAATAACAAAAAGGAAATACTATGATCGATACTGATATGAAGATAGTAGTTGTAAGAACATACTTTAGTTTTTCCCAAAAACAAACACAAGAAATAAACAAGAGCGTTAATAGAATTCAAAAAAAAATTTTTTTTATCGTGGACTTTAATTTTTACTCTGTTATTGATAAAAGATTCTTAAGAGGTGTTCCACAAGAAAACCAAAGATTGGGTGTGGATGTGTGTTAAAGGGAGAATCAATCTAATGGATCAATACTGAAACGTCTGCTTTATTTTCCAAAACGCTTCAACATATATACTGAATAGATCAAGAAAAATCCAACAACTGATAAGGGAAAAAACACCTGGACGCTATCAGAAGAGAACGTTTGAAAAATGCAAGTAGATGAAAAAACGAAAGGAGAAGTCCTATATATGTATAATATCTATACGACAAATAGAAAAGGAAAAATCCTATATATATATATGTCATCTATCCGAGAAAAGAAAGAAAGAAAGAAAGAAAGAGAGAGAGAGAGAGAGAGAAAGAGAAAAGAAAAAAAAGATATATTTTAATGACGTTAACAGTGTGAGGGTTAAATAAGAACCACATTCACACGCTTGTGTATCACCTATTCCCAAGATCTCGTTTTTTTTTCATATTTGTTGCGCTCGAATATAAATTGAGCTGAACCTGTTGGTATATGAACGGTTTGTCTCATGTTTTTATTAACTCTAGTTGAAACATTAATTGTGAAAATACTTTTAAGATCTTTAATTAACGCATACAAGCCTTTATTTTGTCGACAGGGATCATTTTTTGTTTTGTACTGTTGTTCACTTTTTTTCTAATTTAGAAGCTAAAGCACCACGTTTAATACCAATTTTCAATTTTTCCATGACAGTATATACGAAGTGTTTCATTATAGAAGTGGATGGTTCAGCTAGATTATTACCATCTGATATTTTAATATCACTGTTCTTTGATTTTTTCGTTAGACCATCTAATATTTTTCTTTGCTTATCAATAGATGTACCACCAAAACCACATTGTGATATATAATAACGATGATAACCATTTTCACTTATATTTCCAATCTGTTAATTAGTTCTAATTTGGTTTGCAGTTTCTTTTCGAATGTTATTCAAACTGGATCAACTGATATTATCATCTTTTGTTCCCATAATTGCATGTATTAAACAATTATTGTCATTATTATTCATTGAATTTTTATCGATTTTTTCTGATGAAAGAAAATGACCAAATGTATTTTTTCCATCACTATGAATAAAATCAATCAGAATACAATCTTTATCATGAATATTATTCTTATTCCAACTATCTGGACAAATTAAATGAGGAATAGTTGTTCCGCCAACATTATTTATTTTAATTGGTCTTCCTGAAATATATGTCGTCGCATGAATACAAATCATATCCATTGGTCTACCTTCTTCAATAATACTTGCAACTAAATTTGGATCTTTTGTTTTTGTCATTATAATTAATAATTTCTTATTATATTTATTTGTTATTTCATTTAAAATACGTTTGGTATTTAAATTTTCCTTGTGCTGTTCATATTGTTTTTTATTTTCTTGAAATTTTTTCCATAATAAATTATCTTTATGACGTTGATGGTATTTTTGTGCAGTTTTACCATTTTTTCTTAATAATTTATTAGTACATTTATTTAAAACTGATTCATCCAATTTTGTTCTAATATCAGTGTCGATTTTAGTTTCTAATGATTCAGTCCATTGTTCAGTTGTTTGTTCAATAAGTTTATTCAAATCATTTTCATTAGTATTTATTGAAGTTGACTCAGTTGTATTTTGACATTCTTTTGCTTTTTCTTCCAGTTGTTCTAATTTATTGTTTAGAAAACATGTTGTTTCTGTACAAATCTTACCTAATGCCACAATATATGCACCATTTGTCATAGTAGTATTATATGCTGATGTTAATGTTGTTGCTAATATTGTCCACTTATTTGAAAGATTAATATCATTCATTTTACCTAAAACAGTACTTATTCCTTCTGATATGATATTCATTATATTTTTAATCTATTTAAAAACTTGACTATACCATGCATCAGTATTATCCTTTTGATTTATTTCTGTTAACCATTTTTGTGTTAATGCAAGACCATATTCTTGATAATTTTTTTTTAAGGTTCATTGATTCGATCTTTTTTCTCTTTAATTGATTTCCCGTTTTTAAAAATAATTAATTAATAATTTTACCACAATAATCTTTTAAGAATTTTTCAGATAGATATGATACTCCAGCATTAGATAATTCAAATGCGATTCCTTCTATTAATTTTAAACCAATCCTGCAATAAACGTGTTTGAATAAATTGTTTGTTACACCTTCAAAAGTTGAACCACTTGCAGCCTTGATTAATTTATTAACAGAAAATTCAGCTAATTTTCCAGTTTATCCAACTAATTTTGATCCAAAACGATCAATACTGTAAAAATGATGCTTTTCATTCTATTTAGAAAATAATTATTCCACTTAAAATGGCACGTTTAGTAGCATAAATTGCATAAAATATATCATTTATTTCCTCTGATATTAAACCGGATGCTATATATAAGTACCTATACCCATAGTAAATAATTCAAGAAAACCACCTCCAATTATTTGTGTTATTCCTAATATAAATATAGCCGCGGTGTATAACAACATTTGTCAGGACCATTTTTTTTTCTTCAATACCAATAATTTGATCTAAACCATTAATTGAAAATATATTTAATTTTTGAATGTTTGAATTTATCGTCTCCATCAAAATTTTGTTCGATATTATCTAAATATGAATATGGCTTAGATAAATAATTTAATTTTCCAATTATATTTTGTAATGATTTTGAAATACTTTTAGAAATATCTTTTTTGCAGTCCCATACTTTTTGTGTTAATTTTTCTAATTTGTATCAATAATCATATAAAAGTAATTTTTGATATAAAGGAACATCAATTGCTTTATAATTATAATAAACTGGTTTGATTATTAATGACAATTCAAGATCACATAAAAACTCTTTATATAAATTATATGGTAATTAATGTTAAGTTAATCGAATCGAAGTCTTCTGATTTCATTTGATATAATATTTCTAGAATTTGAAGTTTATATAAAAATTTTGAATTTATAATAGAAATGATACGTTGATCTTGGAAATTATTTGTAAGAAGCATTTCAATATTTTGACCAATTATTTTTTGTTGAATAAGTTTATTGAAAATTTTTTTTCAATCATTTATATTTAAGTTTTCAGTTTCAAGAAAATCATTTAATGTAGTTAATGTAAATTGTTCAACAGGTTTATTTTGTAATTTATCAATATTATTAATTGTTGCTATTTTATTTGTATAAATAAAAGCTTCTTCTTATAAAATTTTATTATTTTTATCAAGAGATTTGTACACATATTTAAGATTTTTTGCATCAAAATTAACTTTTGAAAAAAATATTATTGACTTACTTTCTGGTTTAATTTCATTAATTGATTTTAATTCTTTCCCGAGTTTATTAATAAATTCTTTTAATTGATAATTTTCAGTATTTGTTTCTACCATATTAACTATAATAAAGTCTTTTACATCTATAATGAAATCTTGTTGAATCATTAATTGCTGAAAATGTTCACGATGTGGTATATTAAGATCTTCAAAATATTGTTTTAAATTATTTTCATTAATACAATCTGTTTTAATTGAATAATTTTTGATTTTATCATAATTTAATTGATAATTAACAAAAATATTTTTTAATTGATGTTCATTAAAACTTCTATTAAATTATTTTTTAATTAAAATATTTTCATTTTTATCATAAATTTGTGTCTTTCATAATACAATGAGCTTTATAATAATACGCTGCATGACTAAATTTTGGTTCACCATAAATAACTTTATTTAAAACTTCAAATGCTTGTTGATTATTTTTATTTTTAATATGAAATTTTGCTAGTTTTAATAATTGACTTGATTCAACAACTAATTCTTGTATTACATCGTTCGTATGTTCAATATTATTTAATTGATTAATAAATTCTTCTTATGATTTAATTATCCCCATTTTATTATTTATTAATTTTCCATGTTTATCTAAACAAAAAACCCATTTATTTAAAACAGAATTAAGTATAATATCTTTAATATCATGTTTAGTTTGACTCCTTCTTTCTATTTTATTTTTTAATTTTTCATATGCTATATGATAACGATTAAATAATTGTTTTTTAAAATGAATTGATGTTTCATAAAAATGACGAATTTCTCCAACACGACATAGTTCATTATAATCTCTTTCTTTTTTCAAAATCAATAATTTGTAATAATGAATTAATATTATTTTGTTGATTAATTTCATTATTAAATTGATCAATAAATATTAATTGTCCGGAACCATTTTATCCTTTTCTTGATGTTCTACCAAATGTTTGTTGTTCGACACGATAACTATCAGGTAAATAAGTTAAAATAACATGTAAATCATCATTATTATTTAATTCGTTAGTTATTTTAATATCTGTACCTTTTCCAGCTAAATTAGTTGCAGTAATTATTTTACCAATATCTAAATCATCATGTTCAACTGAAAATTTTTCATAACTTCGTTTATAAACAAATAATTTATTTAAATCAAAATATTTTAGTACACAAAATATTTGATGAATTTGATCAACATCTTTTATTGTTTCGCATATTATTAAAACAGATCTTGTTTCTGATATTTTAATTGCTTCATCAAGAATTTTATTTCTCCATTGCTCACGATTTTGAGAAAGCATAGGTTGTTCTTCTTTAAATTTACTTGGTAATGCAGCAGAGATAGTAATTAAATCAACTTTGTAAGTTAGTTTCAAAAATTCTCTTTCATTCTCAGATCCTAATGTTCCACTTAAATCATAAATATGTTTATACATATTAAAAAAATATAATTTTAGAAATAAAAACAGCGTTTAAACTAAGTAATGAAATTTTAAATTGATGTTTTAATTGTAAAAATTGATGTAAACCTTCATTCCAGTGACTATTTATTTGATTAACACGAGTCTTACAATCAACAATAATTGGGGGTGCATGTGGATGTGGATATAGGTATCATATTTATATCAAATTCATCCACACCCACACTCCTCAAGATGGTAAGAAAAAGACCGTAGTGTAAGAATAATCAAAAACTAATATATAATTATGGGAAAGTCAAAATAAAAACAAATTGACGATTTATAAAGAACCATACAGAAGAAGCTAATGATATGCATGAAAGAAAAGAAATGGGAAGAATATGGAATAAAGAAAAACTTTCTCGACCATTCGAAAATAGACTAGTATATTCGATTTGTAAACAATGGTATTATCTGGATCATACTGAATTATACTTTGAATTCTTCTATTAAGAATGACCACCAGTGAAAAGCATTTCGTTTTAATGTAAATAAATAAGAAAGAAAAAGAGAATAATAATTGTTAACGTCTGTAATGACTCACTCGACGCTAGACTAGAGATTAAGTTTGTCCTTCTAGTCTAACTGACTTAGAACATCTGTTCGGATAGCAGAAGGTGTGAATTCGAGTTCTACGAAGGTCATCTTTTTCTTCATTTCCGTTTCTCTTGTTCTCTTTCGCTGCTGTCCCTTTCGTTGCTCTAATATGATCTTAAGAGTAATACGGAACTTATTTAAATAATATGAAATGATCAAATCTGATATATTACATATAAAGTTACAGTGCAAATTATGTTTGGACTGATTGTATATAAATTTTTTCGTTAGTTTAGATAGAAATATTGTTTACATTGTTGCTAAATGATGATAGATCAATGGAAGAAATTGATTGAATATCATCTATCAGTAGTCAGCAAAAATCTTTTAAAAGATTTTGAAAGAATTAAATGGAGAAGACATGCGATCGTGATATTGTTTGTTCATATGAATCCAATTTTTCGTTTATCGGAACAGCTGCTTCAATTATCAAATATTTTTCAAAGATGGTCATTATTAAGTGGTAAACATTTGTACAATCAAAATTTAAGCACTTGAATATCAAGCGATTATTGGGCAAGAACACTCTATGAATATAACAATTATATGATAGTAAATAATTTATTACTTTTAAAGGAAAATATTTAATATATACAAAGAGAATTTATTCAATAGCTCGTCTAAAATCGCTAACCAATTTTAATAACTCTTTGCTTTATCGTCAGGATTTCGTTTAAAATTAACAAGTTTGAAATACATATGTTAACCAAAGTTTCTTTCAACTTGTCATGTTTCTTTACCAACCAAACTTAATTTATTAACATTTATTCTTGTTAAATTGGAATGTATTTTTAATATCAAATAGTGCTAAAATTTTCCATCAAACTCTTCAAAGTTTATAACACCTAAAAGTTGACATCATTGTAGATTAGATAATCCTTTTAGAAAAATTCGTATATCTATCATGTTAGGACAGCACTAAATGGGATGAGTATGATTTTTAACTGTCGACAGTCTTAAATTCATTGATATTTTTACATATAAAACGCGTAGACGGGGTAGCCTTGTCAATAAAGAACTTAAAGTTGATGGTGAACACGATGGATTCAATACAAATTATTCAGTTGAAAAAGATTGTTCCAATGAATTGTGTAGTGATGAGAAATGATCATTATTTCAATTTGATTTTAAATATTTGAGAAGAGGATAACAAAATACAAGTTTTAATGTGGCTTTTATACGGCGACTAGAATGACATGAATAAATCAAAATCCGATGCTGAAGTGGTGGTAAAAAATATAGGCGAGAAAGAATAATTTGAGAACCATTCTAAAGTGTGATCGTTTTGATTGTATTACATACCTTTACAGAAATATTATTGGCCGATATATGAAGAGACACCAGTTGGTAGTAGTGATTAAAGCGAGAAGAGTATTTCTAAGTAAATTATCATTAGTAAGACAAATATAAAGATCAATGTGTGATCTAGTTAAAAGTTCAAATATATAAGAAATAGCATCTGGATAAAACGAGGTGTATAATTCATCATTAGAGAAATGCTGATATTTTTCTAATATTATATCTGGACAAAGATCCCAAAATGTCGTCAGAATTATCTAAAACAAAAAAAGAGTGTGAGCATGGGTGTAGGCATGTATTGATGGTACATCGACACGGAAAGTCATAGTCACATCTACCCACACCGTCAAAACAAGAAAAAAAGGTAGTTTTCTAAGAAGAATCATATATCATGCATTTATTAAGTTGTATATCATCTTTAATACATATTGTGTGAGTGTACGAAGAATCATTTAAATATATCATAATCGCATTTTTCTAACATCATAATCGATAAATGCAAGCAATTCTATTTTTTATTTCATAATTATTGATACTATTAATTATAAAATTACACTATTTCTTGCTTTTTATTCAATTTAATTCTTTATTTTCAACTACAAAAGTTCATAATCAGATCATGATTAATAATGTCTTTTAATAAATATATTTCATTTTTATTGCATTCTATTTAAAAAAATATCTTTATATATGAGAGTTTTTATTTATCGAAACTTAAGAGATTTACTTTACGTTACTCTGTGAATATTGTTTAGATACATAGACCATTGTGAAATATCTAGAAAATATGACACACTCTTCGAGGGTTATTACACAGAGAAAAGAAACTATTTTATCATATACCGATTTTAATAGTTCAGGAAAAGGAAAAAGATCATAATGATATGACTGTAAGTATGTGTGCATTAAGTGACGTCAGGTACTACCAACGGATTTTTTTTACCAAAGAATGTAATATTGGTAAGATACTAAAAGCAAAATATATACAGATTATTCTATTTTTGCTTCTGTATAATGATAATTTCCCCTAACAATGACAATGGAATGTACTACATATAATTAAATACCTTTGTCATCACAACAATAGATATGTAAGCGTGTATATAGAATATTCGTTCGCCATTCCTTCACATATCTATATATCGATATGGTATTTTCCTTCGTATATGATCACATGGAGTTTCCTACTTTTCTTTCACATATATGTTCATGTGGGATTTTCCTCCTTCATATATATGTGATCGTATGGGATTTTTCTTTTCTTTATTTTAATGCGTTCTTCCAGTCCTTTGACTTATAGTAAAATATATTATTTCCAAATGATAAACAAAAGGATATCATGTAAGTAGTTTTCCTAAAATATGTTGTAATACAAGAGATGGGAATAATCAAAGTAACCATTTCTTGTCCTATAAATACTTGCGTTTTTTTTCTTAAAATGAACAAACTATTACTAAAATCAAATATATATTTTAACAAGCCATTCATTTATTGAAACATTACAACAATGTCTGATCAACAAAACAACAATGAACCACTGGTCAACATAGTCCATGGTGTATTAGATGCCCACAAGCCTGCAGCAAAAGTGATTGATTGTTTCACAAGTGGAGTCACTGGTGCAGCTAATGATACTGAAAATAATGTGCCAGAAGCTTGCGATGCAGTTGATTTATTGTATAAAAAATTGAAGGAATAGTAAATAGATTATCCATTGATTATCATTATTTATTAATCCAGCATTGAAGACATTATTTAATTACAACTTTCACTTTCATATTTTTTGTCATTATTTCTATTCATGAATTAAAAGTGTATTTAGTTTTTTTCATCCTAAATAAAAAATATCATATGATATAGATAATAATCTAGTTTATTGTCGTTTTGTAACTCATACTAATGATGATAATTAAGTGATTTACATTTCTGATTGTTCTATCTCTGATATTATTTACTACATTCGTATTATTCTGTAGATATCACCATAGACATCGTTTTAGATAAAGTGTATGCACATTATACGTTCACTCACGGTTAGACATACTTAGCGTTTCATCACGATCACAGTCATACCTAAATTTCCACATTTTGATAAGAATTATCTTTGGACAAAATTTTGATCGAATGGTGCCAAACTTTTTAACAAGTATCATCCAATAACTATAGTTGTTTGAATTATTTATTCTCTTTTATGTTCATCAACTTTTTTCTCGAAAAATAAAATACTTATTAGTTGTATATCATTTTGAATTATTTCAACGATTTGATTCTTTACCATCTTATCAAGATGAAAATAAAAGACAAATGAGTACAGATATAAATGAATCTAGGCACTATACTGATGCTAAAATGCATCTGATTGTCATCTAATATGAAATAAAGTAAATGCATTCATGAAAAAATCCATACACCATATATATTAGTATTAATAATGATTTAAAGTTAAAAATAATATTCGCGGTTGTTCACATAGAGCGCCTTAGAAAAGCGACATAAATGAAAAGAATATTCTCATGCATAACCTGTAAGATGAGCGGTTTTTTATGCATATAAAGGATAAAAAAAGTTTTTTTTTAAATAAATTCTAAAAGTTAGCGAAAACGAAATGATTACTATCTTTTTCTACGAGTCGATTATCCGTAATATTATGGAATAGTAGACATCATTTCGAAGATCATTTTTATTGTTTAACTATTTTGTTGTAAACATATTAGAATGAAACTATCTGTTTGTTTTTGGGCTGATGATCTATATTAAATGTTTTTAATCATATTTCGTAATTTAAAGAAGATACATGATTGAAGAGAAATATGGGGCATTTATATTGAAGAAGGCTAGTAACCATCAAGGGAAAGACATGTCAAGAATCTTGAGGGTGTGGGTGTGCGTCTGGATGTGGATGTAATAAAAGAATACTCACACCCACACCCTCAATTTTACAAAAAAGGATGGGTGTGGGTGTAGGTATAAACATGGAACTAGGTTGAGTATAACATCCACACCCATCCACCTTCAGTAAAACAGAAATGTTTATGACGCCTAATAAATAAAATAAAAATATAAGTTTTATTGCTTTCGAC